GTTCTGCGGCATCATTGCAGTCATGGTGAATAAAGCACATTTCTGGTAGACATACTATGAACCTAAATAAACATTGTTCAGGCCTCTGTTTGAGATCACAACCAGAAGCAATGGTCCCCTGGAAAATAGGGCCACTTGGACACTTGTAGGAAATTAACTTGAGTGGTCCTCAAGCCAACAACCAAGCAATTTCTGTCTACACTTAACTATTTATCTGTTAGTCTGAAGTTTACAGAACTCCTCCAGAATATAAAAATTCACAGTCATGGGCTCTCTATATTGTGCTGTGATCATTGAATGGGCTGTGGAAGACACTGCTCCTATGAGAAAATGGAGCTTTTATAATACGGGTCTTCCCTTACCTCTCCCTGATTATAGGCACAAAACAAGACCCGTTTAGTGAACAGTTTGCCGGGGTTTGAGTATTCACTGATATACACTGACATGCTAGCTGTATTTTATACAATCTCCTGACCATTCCCTCCTACTTAAAATGAGGAAAAACTATTTGCAACTAAACTATGAATTAAAGCATAGGTACAACGATCGAATACTGACCATACACCAATCCTTGCAGTAGGTCCTTTGCACACATTAGTTCATCCAAAAGTCTCAGCGATTCTATAAACTAAGGACAATTAGAATTCCCATTTTGCTGATGAGGACTTGAGGGCTAGGGAAGTTAAGAAATTTGTCTGAAGCTACTCGTCTAGTTTATAAGCTAGAATTTTGGTCCTTGCATTTCCGAGTCAAAAGTTGACAGCCTCTGCCTGTCTTTTTGCCATCCTGTTCTTCCTTCTCCAACTTTAGGTAATTTCTTTGGCACCAAGGCCAGCACTTGGACTCTGTTAGGCTGCTGAAGTTTATCTCCCCTTGGGCCTGACTAGCTCTTTCGAAGGCAGGTAGCAACAGCAGGACCATGATTGCAGTTGCCTGGCTGGCTTTCAAAGGAAATGAACACAAAATAGTGACACAACACTGCAATATATCCCACAGCTATTGGCACGGCAGATAATCTGGGCGTAGAAGAAATCACAAATCCACCTACAAGGCAGTTGCTGCTAGCCGTGTCTTGACCTTGACCAACTCTTGGTCCCAGGGGCAAGAAACACTCCTAGCAGGGAACTAAAGTATGATAATAAGCATGAGCTTTTCTCATGTTTCTGCAGGAAAAACTTCCTCTTGGAAATGGGCTTTTGTGGGAGATGTGAAAAGCATGGACTCTGGAGTCAGATGGGATTGGTTGTAAACTTACTTGTGTCACTACGCGCAAGCTCGTGACTTCACCTCATCATCAGCTTCAGCTTCTAACTTAAAAATCAGGGGTGATGCCTTAAGTTCGGTTTCCCAGAAACAGATCCCAAGATGAAGATTTGTATTAGTCAGGAAGCACTGCCAGAGGAAGCTGGAGATTGAGCAGGGGAAGAGGAGAGAAAAAAGGAGGGGCCAAACAGGAGACTGATCTCAGGCAAAAGTCCTGCAAAGGGCAGCCTCAGCCTGATCCTGAAGAGTACTGTGGGCTGCAAATCATGCCTCCGAGTCGGCCTTACCCAGAGGTGTTTTGTACGTCTGCACCTGTTAGTCATTTGTTAAGAGCTGTTGGAAGGAGAGTGGATATAAAAACTGAGGCACCTCCCTCTCTGCAAAGCAAGTTCTACCAGCGGAGGAGAAATCCTATGAAAAGTAGCCATCTGTACTTACTGTTGGAGCAAGAGCATCCCCAAAATGGGTGAAAAGGGACCCAAGGCGACCTTGGTGGAGTACCCATATTTTTCACCACAAATTATACTTACTTGCTGGGCCATTATTTATCTATATCTATGTCTATACCTATACCCATATATCAAAATAGAGAGATACATCTCAATATCCTGACATACAGAAGGCACTTGATAAATAGTTTGTGTTAGTGTCATTGTTATTATTGTTGCTCAAGTATTGCCCATAAAATCTTCCCAAGTTCACAGCCAGAGTCCTGTTTGCTCTGCTTGGGGATGCCCATGAGCTCTGCTTGCCGGCCTCATTGGTGCCTATGGGCTGATTTCACATCATTGGCTTTGTTTAGTTGGCACCATGTCTGTCACCCAATCTCATGACCACTGCCCTTTTGGAATCTCCTCTGCTAGACTCAGAAAGGACCCACTTCCTGCCAGGCAGGGTGTTTCCGAGCAAGGCAGGTGCCTGAGGGCTCAAGTGTGAGTGCTACTCTGTCTCCCAGCAGTGCAGTGCCACTGGGCCTCCAGCAGGACGTGCCAGCCCCAATCCTCCCCTCTCATTAAATAAACCCTTGGCCTTTTTAAGTTTTGCCTATTCATCTTCCCCCACTAACGGCTAGGGATTGCGTGGAATGAACCAAAGTCCACAAAAGGACTCTTTCCCCTTTATGTCTAAGAGCCTACCCCGAGAGACCTGGGGCAGCCCTCTCTCCCTAGGGGGCCTAAGACACCCACAGAAACAATGCAGCATGGGCTTTATTTAATTAATCTTTTTTAACAATCAGCCTTTTCCATGTGCCAGCCGGGAGAGCTCATCTATGAAGGGGCCTCCCCTCTGTGACTAATCCTCTATGTTAAAAGATTGTGCTTTGCTATTAAGCCTTTACATACATCAGCTCACAAGAGCTGCATTTTCTCACAGTGCCAGACAGCCCCCTTAGCCACACTACTCTGGGACCTCATTTTCTAGGCTGCTATCATGCCTGAAATTAATCTAAGATGGGCTCCTTTTACAAGAGTGGCAGCAAATATCCAATTCAATTTGCTTTCACCCAAGATTTCCCAGGAGTCACGCCGAATGAGATAATCAATGATGATTATAGGGCTTGGCCTGCCTCGCTGAGCCAAAGTGTTAAAGGAGGGAGAATTTCTGCTCCGGTGCTCACCCAAGTCAGGCAGACCCATTACTATTCTCAGTGGCTGTAAACCATATGTGCTGCAGTAGTCATGGGGGGTAGGAACAGGGGATCAGTCCTCTTACCTAAGAAAAGAGAATTCATTTTTGCTTCCCCTCCCACCCCAGAATAACAGAAGCAAAAATGTATCGAGCATCTGGAGCAAAGATAAGTAGGCTGTTCAAACCAATGATGCTAAAGAGATTTAATTTATACAGCTAAACTGTCCTTGTCTCAGCTAGAGACTAGGCATTGCCTTTACCACTAATCCAATCAAAACAAAGTATTAAATTACTTGTTGCTATCATCTTAACCCTGAGAAGACTGTTTTCTGCTTGGATGATCATTCTGAAAGACCACAACACAAAGGGAAGGAAAGTAGGGACAAGTGGTTCCGGGGGGGGAGGGGGGGGGCAACAAAAACATCTTCACTACTTCTTACTCCCTCCCTGTTTCTCCTCCTTCTTGCCTCAGCTAGTGTTGTACTCACTGTCCGGGGTGGGGGTGGGAGTTCTGAGCTCTGCACATTTTTACAAAGGCTGTGTCCGAAAGTGAGGATATGATTGTGTATTAGTTACCTACTGCTGTGTAACAAATGGGCCCAGATGTAGCAGCTAGAAACAGCAAACACATGTAATTTCCCAGTTCCTGTGGATTGGGGATCCAGGAGCATCTTGGCTTTGTGGTTCTGACTCAGGCTCTCTCACAGGCTGTACTAAGGTTGTCAGCTGGGGCTGAGTCATCTCAAGAATCGGCCTGAGAAGGACAACCTCTGAGCTCACTCACTCACATGAGTGTCTTATTGGTAAGACACATCAGAAGATCAACTTTCAGGTTCACTGATGTGGGCCTTTGCACAGGACTGCCTCACCAACTGGTGGCCAGATTCTCCTAGAGTAAGGGACCCAAGAGAGCGCAAGACAGTACCCAAGATAGAGACCTCAGTCTTTTTATAATCTATTCTCAGGAGTCAAGTCACATTACTTTGCCACATTCTGTTGTCAGTAAGCCAGCTCCCACTCAAATGAAGAGGGTCACACAAGAGCGCAAATACCAGGAGGGAGGTCTTTAGAGACTCTAAGTCTTAGAGATGACTATGACAGAGGAGAGACCTGCTGTTTGGAGACATCATCTGTGCATGGAAGTTGGGGGGCATTGTCCCATCAGACTCTGAGGCAAACTCCAACGGGGGTCTCTTTTTTGTGGTGCAGAATGCTACCTCTGACTCCAGGGGAAGAAGGGATATCTGCGTGTATTTAGAATCGCTCTGGGTGCTCAGGGTCAGAATTAGAGCTGGAAGCAGGGCCTGCCTTCCTAAAAACTTCACTGGAGGTAATAGGCTAAGGATGTACATGTTGGCCTAGGTGCTGCCTGGTTCCATAGTCTAGCAGCATGGCCAGCAGCACACACAGGACTGTGGTAGGAACGGTAAGACATCAACAGGCAGAAGAGAAGAGATACAGGACCTGGACTAGGAGGGCGTGGCTGGCGATCTCGTCTTTCCTTTTGTGCAAGATGGTTATAGTCATGGCCCAACAAACCACACCTCACAGTATCCCTGTGTGTGGTTCCTCTCCCACACTTGACTCTGAGATTGCCCATGAGACTTGTTTGGGCCAAGTCCACAAGATGTAAGCCCTTGCTAAGTGCTACATGTATTGGGACTTGCCTCCTGGGGATGCTATCCTGAGACCATCATGCCAGGAAGACTCCCACTGGAAAGACTCTGGAATGAAAGACCACATGGTAGGACGTTCCAGCCATCCCAGCTTAGCCCTGCTCCAGCCAACCTGCTTTTCCAGCTGGATGCAGTCTCATGAGCTGTTTCAGACAAAATTGGCAGAGGATCGATCCAAAATTGGGAGAAGGGATTTCTTGCTGGTCTAGGCCACCAAGTGCAGCAGTGATACGTTACAGAGAAATAGTTAACCGATATATTACTGATCCCTTCAGAATGATCAAACCTACCCAGACAGGCAATGGTGGAATCTGGAACAATCTTGCGGTCACACAGGCCCCCGAGCCAGAAAGCAGCACCTGCCCAGTGCTTCAATGCATGCTCTCTCTCTCTCTCTCAGTGATGCCACAGAAGTAGTTCACAAACATCACATATGTGCTGGTCTTTTTATTCCTCAGAGAGAATCTGGACTCAACCAAAACAGACATATCTTTGGCTTCAAAGGAGATTCTCTTAAGAAATCACAAACCAAAGGCCCTTTACGAGCCACTGCTTCCTGAGAGCCCAGGGGAAATTGGATACAGGACCACATTGTGCTCTGAAAAGGCTTTGTGGACAAAGCAGGGCGTCCTTACATCTCAGCCAATGATTTCAGTGGACGGTGATCAGTGCAGTGGCTCTGGTGCTGTAAGGTCACCTGCCCAGGTTGCTCTCCAGGAAAATTGTTTTTCATCTCAGCAGCAGGTGAGCCAACTGGATCACTTGGGTGACTCGAGCGTCCTGGGAAGTGGTCAGATCATCCTCTGTCTGTCAAGAAGAAAATGTTGTCTGAGAAACGTGACTATCACAAATAATCCCTTATCCCTATTTCCCTGGTACCAAGCCTTGTCCTCTGAATCAGTATGCAGAGTGGAAACCTGCTGAGACGTGAGGGACACCTCTGCCACCCTGCTTCACTGCCTGGTGAAATTCCACTTGCTTGTCAAATTCCAGTCCCAGCATCACCTGCTCTGGGGAAACGTTGCCTGTTTTAATCCCATGGTAGAACAGGAGACGGTGACGGCTACATCCTTACCACTGCTATGCATCATCACTACATCCCACTGGGGTTGGCTGTACCTCCATCCCAAAACCTCAGGATCATGTTAAGAGGAAGATCCTGCTGTGAACATCTTGATATACTGAGTACACACCTGACACATGTTAGGCATTTGGCGAAGAGCAGAATTCATTCAGTCAGAAAATATTCACTGAATTCCTACTTTGTGCCAGATACCTGCTCTGAGATGACAGCAGGGAATGAGACACACATTCCTACCTTCAGGGGGCTTATATTCCACTCAGAGGAGACAAACAGTAAATGGAAAATAAGAAGTAAAATACAGGGTGGAGTAAAGCCTTGGTTTGCGAATCTAATTCATTCCAGAAACATGCTTGTAATCCAAAGCACTTGTATATCAAAGCGGATTGCAAGAACCACTGACTCAGTTGTGATCATGTGACATTCGGCGTCACGTGCTACTTGTATCGCAAGACACCACTTGCTCATCAAATTAAAATTTATTAGAAATGGGGGTGCCTGGGTGGCTCAGTATGTTAAGCATCCGACTTCAGTGCAGGTCATGATCTCACAGTTTGTGGTTTGAGCCCCGCGTGTCAGGCTCTGTCACAGCTCAGAGCCTGGAGCCTGCTTCAGAGTCTGTGTCTCCCTCCCTCTTTCTGCCCCTCCCCCACTCGCGCTCTGTCTCTCTGTCTTTCAAGAACGAATAAACGTTAAAATTTATTAGAAATGTTTGCTCGTCTTGCAGTACACTCACAGAACAGCCGTTTGCAATCCAAGGTTTTACTGTATATGAGAAGGTGATAGATGCTACGCAGAAAAACAAAACAGGAAAAGGAACAGGGTGTAGCAGTTTAATACAAGCTGACATTTGAGCAAAGACTTAAAGGCAGAGAGGGAGTTAGCTAGGTGGGAAGAGTATTCTAGGCACATGAAAACGGCCAATGCAAAGGGCCTGAGGCAGGGGTATGACTGGTTTATTTGAGGAGCAGAAGGGGGGGTGCAGAATAGCTGTAGCTATGTGAACAAGGGAGTGTCTTTAGAAGATGAGACTGAGCGGGTACGGGGGTGAGTGAAGTTTGTGCGGGGCTTTGCAGGGCAGAGTAAGGATTTCAGCTTTTAATCTGCAGGAGATGGAAGACGGATTTGGGATTTTTGAGCAGAGGAATGACACGGACGGACAGGGTTTAAAAGGATTCATCCGACTCTTCGGTGGCAAAAAGACCGTAGGCGGGTATGAGTGGAAGCAGTTAGGAGGCAATAACAGTAACAGCCCAGGTGAGAGACACTGGAGGTTTGAAACAGGTAGCGACAGCGGTCAGACAGTGATGTATTCTGAATGGTATTTTCTAACAGATTAAATGTGACACAGTAGGAAGACGCGAAGAGTCACAAGTAACCCCAAGATGTGGGGTCTGAATGACTGACAGGGAGGGCTTGCTGGGTGGAGAGAAGGGGGTGGGCAGGGCGCTCAGGTGTGTCGAAAGATCAGGGGCCCTGCCTGGACACGTTGAGTCTAATATTTCCATCAGCAGAGATGTCGAGGAAGCCGTGGCATATTTGCGTCTGGAATCCATGGAGCACGTGTGGGCCAGAGCCATGAATTTGAAGGAATTCATAAGCCTGAGCACTTTATTTTACTCTCTTGATTTTACCCTCCTCCACAGTAAATTGGGTGGAGGGGGAGGCCAGTAGGTGACATGTTAGACTTGGTGATTATCTACCATCCTTTCCGGGTCTTACACCAGTCTTTCATCTAGAAGATAATTGGGCATCCCACGCCGTTCACCTCTTTGGCATTCTGCTTTTGCGGGCCTCTTCACTTCTGATTCTGTTTTTCAGGCTCTTGCAATACATCACTCTTTCAAACAGAGATCACAAGTGCAACAGGAGAGCCAGCCCCCATCCATAGGTGCGTAACCACTCTCGGGGACCCGGGCCTCTGGTGAAGGAGAGGACACAGAGGCACAATTGTCCAATCACTGACAGCAGTGGGCTGCAAAGGGCAGGCATGCGGCAGCCCGCCTTGCAAAAGGAACCAGTGCTGCCCACCAGGCAGAGGCGCAGATGACTTTATTCTTTCCAACACTGAGCAGGAGACTCTTTGCGTGTTTGCCTTAGAAGGAGAGTGAATGTGTGTCCCGCTTTGCCCAGAACAGCCTGGGTTGGTATCTTTCATTTCAGTATAATTATAGCAGCATCCCCTTTAACTTCCAAAATTACCCCAGCTTAATGATAAATCACATGGTCACCAACTTACAGGCTTCCCTCTTGACATCTTTTACCTAAAAAACCCCCAGCAGAGTCTTTCCCTGATAACTCAGAACTTTCTGACTCTTGAGCAGGTTACGAATGAACTGAATCTCCATGGACCAACCCTGGGAACAGCAAAATCATTAAATTCTCTTCTCCTTGCCACCCCCCCCCCCCCACTTGGAGGGACAAGGACCCGGGCAATGATCTATGCATATGACCCTCCATTGGGAATCACTGGGTCACTGTAACTTTCAAGGTCCCTGAATTTACCTCCTTTGAGTCCAACCCTCCTAAGGGTCCTGTAGCTGACAGTGTTGTAAATGGCTCAGGTCACCTATGCAGAACCACACTCGCTGGTTTTATATCTACTCATACCATTGTTCGCTAATAACCTTGCTTTCCATTCATGCAACAAATACTTATCAGATGCTTGCCCAAAGCATAATGGGAAATATGGAAAAGATTTATGTATTAATCCTACCCTTGGGTCTAGCATAGAACGTAAACGTAGGCAGAAATCATGAAAAGTTGATGTAGAATATGAAATGACAAAAAAGGTCCAGCTGAAGGCAATCTGACCGTATAAAATCCTCCCGTCCTTTGACCAACATTTTTGGCATTGATTATTCGCTCTGCAAACATGTGGCAAAGCGCCATTTATCAAGTGCCAGCCACTTGATATACATATCTCATTTAATCTTCATAGCCATACTCCAAGGTTGATATTATTATTTCAGCTTTGTAGATGAAAAGCCTGAGGCTCAGAGAAGTTGGATCATTTGCTGAAGGTCACACAGCCACAGAGCAAGAATTGAAACCAGGCTCTGTCCTCGTGCTCTTTCCAGATGCCACTTCCATGCACAGCACTGTTGGATTTTTCTTCCCCAACTCTGCTAAACGGGATAGTCCTTTCCTCGAAACACACAGGCAAGCCCTTGTAGCAGGACCCACATCCACTTGTTCTCTGGCTAAAAGGCAGAGCTGGGAGTGGGGTGAAGAGAGTAAGTCACTGACCGCAGGCACAAGATTTAAGGGGGTGTCAAAAACCTCAATAGTCAAGATAAATAATATTGTAATGCAACATTAAAAAAAAAAATCAAACTGACAAACCACAGCGCTTGGGCCAGCTGCCTGTTTTCATAAATAAGGTTTCAGTACACTTCACATGTCAAGACAGGCCACATCCACTGGCCCCACGTGCCTGGTTTCACTTGTGGAAGAGACTTGCTTTGCCTTCTAGCCTAGAGGACAGCACGCATTCTATAAATAAAGGCCATGTGGGCTGGCGCCTGGACAATCACAGAGAGTGACACCAGAAGGCGGACTGCTCCCTTATTCTCCCTCGGAGCCAGAGCAATCCTGATGTGATTCCGAGACATGGGCAGGAAGCGGCGGCCGGCGCTTGCACAGCTGCAAGAATAACCGGCCGTGAGACGAGACGTGGCTCAAGTCCCCATTCCCCCGAGGATTAATTGCCACGTGGGATGCGCATGGAGGGACTCGGGGTCACTCCTCCGCGCCGTGATTGTGATGGGAGCTGTAGCTCTTCTTAGCTGACACACCCTTCGGTTGCCTGGGCTCCACCGGGCACAGGCAGTGACGCCAGCACCCGCGCCAAGCAATTATTAATGGGAAAAGAGAGTGCTGGGGCCCCCAACAGCCATTTTTAACTGTGGACATTATTGCTCAATTTTGAGCTGCACCCAGGGACTCGTAAGAGGAAGACATAATGCTTGTTTGTGGAACTTTTATAGCTAATTGACATTTTTTCAGTGCTCCCCCGACAGCTATAGTTACTCCTGATTGGAAGGGCGGTGGAAAGCATCAAGTTGTGCACTGTCTCCAGAAGGGGCCATATTTCTGACGTGCCACGGGGAAAAAAAAAAGGAATAAATAAAAAGCCGTCAAAATAAACATACTCAAAAGCGATAAAGAGGAGCTGAAGTGATTGGCAAAACTAGTTCGCTTTGTGCAAAAATAAAGCATGTCATTTTCATGCTAATTGAGGATGTTTGACTATCTGGGGCTGTCAGATTTCCTCCTTTCTTGGGAAGATTTTCCTCCCTTCTACAATTGCTCTTTGCTCTCCAGAGACCGGGGAACACGGAAGCAAATTTCTCCTTTCCCAGTCTGTGTGCCTCTTTCCACTTACGGGCTCTCAGACTCTGTCATTGGTGCTAGCAGAAGTCAGTGCATCATATTCTGGCTGCTCTAAGTCAAGTTCATGAGATAAAAACAACTGGAATTAAATTGAGAAATCAACTTAATGCTAGCAATTCCACTTTCATCTCTGGACACGTACAGATTACCCAGGAATATCAGTAACTAGGATGGCATATGATATGCCAATTGAAGTGACAAATCACTTGGCATAAATGCCAATTGTGGGTTTGCATGTGCGTATGCATGGACTCTTTTACAGTAAGCTTCCTTCTAGTTTTCTTGATTCAGAAAGTCACTGCTTCATGTGGAATGAATTCCTTTGAGAATCTTATGTTCAGGACAGAACAATATTCCAGACGGAGGTCATCCTATACCATCCAAGTTTTCTGGTTGCATGGACAAATATCACATCTTGCCTATTTGGAGGGACGTCTCCTAGCCCATACATACATTTCCTGAATGGAAACATATATCAGGACAAGTATAAAAATCATAAAATGCAACTGAATGGCCATATTTAATATCCAGTGTCTACATATCAAAATTTTACACACCTAAGGCATAGGAGAGTCTGCCAGGCATTTGCTCAAAACCTCCATTCACTTACTTTACACACAATTCAAATGAACTCAGTGATCAGATCTCTAAGTCAAAGCTGCAATTAAGGAGGAGGAGAGGGGTTGCTAGAAGCAATGATAGTGACAGCAGAGAGAAACGGCAAAGACAACAGCCTGGCAGTCATGAGAGAGATTTTCAATTCAAAGTGATTAGACATGAGACCTTAATAAGCCCTCTACACCAAGCCCTACAGGTGCAAGCCCTCAAGGTAGCCCTTTGGGCATCAGTGTAAAGATGCCAGAGGTATGACAAGGAATGTCCCAGAGGCATTCAGGAAAAAGTCAAGTTCCGGAGCTCTGCTTAAGAAGCAGGAAACGATTCATCTTAGAAAAAATCTAACTTGAAATGTTTCATCATCGTTGTTGTTGTTAGTAATTGAGGGAAATTAAAAGATAAACCCTCTGGATCAGACACGACTCTTGGTCTCAAGAGAAACCCAACTGAAATGAGCTTAAATAAGAAAATACATTAACTCCCCATGGGAAACTTCATAGTTGATCTGCGTTGAGAAATATGGGTTCAGGTGGTCAAATGATGTCATCAATGATCTTCATCTTTTCATCCTGCTTTCCTCTGAAATCCTCTTTTATCCAGTCAGTTCATCACTCCAGGACAAAGATTTTTTTGTTTTGTTTTGTTTTGTTTTGTTTTGTTGCCTCAATGGTTGAAGCATAAATCCTGAGGAGGATTCTTATTGGCCCAGCTGGGGTCATGTGCCATCCCCAGCCAATCACAGTGGCCAAGGCAATGTGCTGCTCTGATTGGCTAGGGATAGATCACTCCCCTTCCCCCATGGCAGGCTGGAGTGGGGTGGGCTCAGCTCCAAGGGTGGAGAGGAAGGGTGGTAGGCATACCCTGAGGAAAATGTAGAGGCTGATATGAGAAGGGGGGTAAGGATGCTATGCTGGTAACAACAATTGATGGTCATTGCAGTATTAGCTATCAGAAGCCATTTTCCAGAACGGCTCGATGTCTGAGAGTTTTAGAGTTCTGCATTCCCTAGGAAAGAGACTCTGAGATGGAGAATTAGGTGCAGGTGGTTGTGGCAGAGGGCTCTTGAGACAGCATCAGGGGGGAAGGGAGGGAAGCTTGGCTGGGCAGAGGGAGGAGTTGGGCTGTCTTCAAGTTGCAACAGCAGCCTCAGCCCATGCCACAAAGCACTCTAGAGCTCGGAAAGATTTTCCCAGTTACCATGAACTGAGGTAAGGAGCCGGCCATTTGTAGATCTTGCATGGTGCAGTCATTGGACTGTCCCAAGGAAAGGGTTCTAGTCTTTAGGGAGGAGGCTCCCCTCAGCCAAATGTAATTCTTGGGGAAGGCACTCAACTGAGTGCCATCACTAGGCATCATTCCAAGTATCTAGAGGAACAGATGCCTCATGGGAAGGGGAGATCTGGGTGGAGCACCGGAATGAAGAGTACCCAAGTGGGAGGTGGTATATGAGGTGAGTCAGAGTAATGCTCTCCCACTTGTCAGGCCTTGGGCTTCAGGTTCTATTTACCCTGGTATCAGTGTGGACTGAATGCACCCATCTCAGGAAAGGAGGTGGGCAACACTGTAGGCAGGCTGAGGCCATGCAACATTCTGAAGCACGGTGTGCTGAAAGACATTTATTGAGCACCTACTGTGTGCTAGTTCCATGCTAGGTTTTTTTCTATCACAGAAACTTCTTCATTGTAAGAAACTTCTTTCCAGGGGCACCTGGGTGACTCAGTCAGTTAAGCGTGGGACTTCAGCTCAGGTCATGATCTCAGGGTTCTTGAGTTCAGCCTCAAGTCCTGCTCTGTGCTGACAGCTCAGAGCCCGGAGCCTGCTTCAGATTCTGTTTCTCCCTCTCTCTCTGCCCCTCCCCTGCTTGCTCATGCTCCCTGTCTCTCTCTCTCAAAACTAAATAAATATTTTTTAAAAATTTTAATAAAAAAAAAAGAAAATTCTTTCCAAATGTGGATTCCAGGAAGTATGCTTAATAACAAAGGAAAGGAACACAGGGCTTATACTAAATGAGTTCAAGGACAGGAAAAAGAACAGTTGTTCAAAAGTGAGCCCTGGGGGTGAGCAAAAGTGTGTTTCTGAATGTGTATCAAAGGGAAATCAATTCTCAAGAAGAGGTAGGAAATTAAGGGAAAGTCTTTTTTAAAATGTAATCACAGAACTAGTGTAATTTTGTAAGGCTTCTTTTTTAAAAGAAATCCAGAAAATTAGATATAAAAAGGGTAGGTGTTCAAAAACAAAGAACAATGAGATAAACATGGTGGGACACAGTTTCTAAGAGAGAGAGAAGAGAAATAGGTCTTCTCATTTGCCCTTCATTGTTTACATGTTTTGTTTTGTTTGTTTTAAACAGGAGTTATTAACTGGGAGTTGGTAACTGAGCTGAAGAGGTCCGTGGATACCCTGGAACTGAATATAATATTCTGTACATTTTTCATCTGTGGATCTCGGCAGATCCTTAAAAATGACCATAATTCTCAAAATGTTTGAGCACCAATGTCCCAGCCCAAATAATGACTCTAGTGAGCAAATAGTTATAACAGAAAGATAAATGTTTTAGGAAATACTTGTATTTCCTTTTTGAGTAGATTTCTTATTTTTGTGTTTCAAAATTAGAAATGTATATTCAGTAAAGTTTCCTTCCTTCCTCCACCCACATCTACCTAATTTTCCTCCATATAGCCAATAATGTGACCAGTCTTTGTGCAACTTCCCAAATGTATCTTCTATAAATTTGTGTGTGTATGTGTATGTATGTATATACATGTATACTATATATGTGTATATACATATATGTGTGTGGATATGTGTATATAGTATGTAATATTATATATATATATTATATGGGCAAATATACATATAAATACACAATCATATATACAATATATGACCATGTATATGTACATATAAATTATATTACCATTTGTATTTATGTATGTATGTTTTTAACCAAAGAATAGTGTACAAAAGACATTATTCTCTACTTTTTTCCCCTTAATGTATCCTTATGTGGGCATAAAGATCTTTCTCTCTGCTTCTTAAGGGTCTTAATATTTCTATTCATGAAAATACCATAATTTATTTAACCAATCCCTCAATGGTAACATCTTGGTTATACTAAAATATTTTACAATTATGGAAACGGCAATTAATTAGTTTGACCATGCATAAATTTGTACCCATAAAAATATCTGTAAGATAAGTTCCTATAAATTGAATAGCAGGGCAAAATGCAAAGTGCATCTGAAATTCTGAAGATATTGCCAAATCTCTCTCTGAGCTTACGCTAATTTATACTCCCTACAGCTCTACATGAGGATGCCTTTCTTCTCGCACTCTTGTCAATAAAGTATATTAATATACTCTATCTTTGCAAGGGTAATGGTTGAAAAAATTCTCAATGAAATGTTATTCACATTTCTCTGATTTTGAGAAAAGTAGTACCTTTTTATGCAACTACCATTTGTATTTACTTTTCTGTGATTTGTATATATCTACGTATATACTTTTTTTTACTTTTTATATACTATTTATATACTTTTCCCATTTTTCTATTGATTTGTAGGAGATCTTTATATATTTAGGTAATCATCCATTTGACAGGTGCATCAGAATGGGGTTTAAGTAGCTGTTAGAATGTGTGACAAAAAAAAAAAAAAGCATAACCGTAAAATATCTCAAGAGGAGTGAAGACATACAACAAAAACAAAAGG